CAGAGCCGGGGTCCCCAGAGAGCACTTACCACAGGGGCCCCCCACGCTTCTTACAGCAAGGCAGGGGCCACTAGGGGACTCCGAGGGCTACACTTCACAAATGCGGGGCTCAATTCGCCATGCAAGATGGTTAAAAGTAGGCGGTCAGGGTGGCTGGGAAGGGAGCAAACTGCAATTATGTCCTGCTTTGAAATGCCCTGCTATCTGAAACCCAGAGAAATTATAACAAGCTCAGATATGTTTAAGATCAATTTGGGAATAAATCCTCGCAAATGACGTATTCCTCTTCTCTGAGGACATTATAATCAAAGGCTAACTCCTATGTAGGTTTTTTTTAGAGGGCTGAAATGCCAAGCAGATCTTCAGGGATGAGCCAATAATATGAGTCCTGTTGAATGACACGGACACAACCCATTGGCAGCACCATAAATCCATGACTGCACTTCTCCAGTGGCACCGTCATGAGTACTATCACATCTAATCCAATATCAGTGACACTAAAACTCAATCCAGCAAATGAGATCACCCTGCGAGTTGAGGCCTGACTTCCTGGCTGTACATTAGGAGAAAGAAGTCGGAGATAGAAAAAAGGAAGCTAATAGACATGAAGGGGCGACTAAAGAGAAAGGCCTTCTGCGTGATAAAACTTTGCCCATGCACAGAAATATTTGACATTCTCCTTTTAGTCACATCATTTTAATAGCAAAGATGCAAACACACATGGGCCCATTTATAAACTTTTCACGATCTGATGATGGTCCAACTTGACTGGAATGTAAGGGTAATAAATGAAAACAGTTGTATTGCAAGAACATTCTGTGGGATCTGTTTCTAAAATGAAAGCTGTCACATCTGACCTAAAAACAACATCGGGCAGTTAGTAAAGCAAGATTTTCAGCAGTGTCAACAGCCACAGGATGGGGCCTCACTGTGTTGAATTAGTAAAGAACACCAACAGCCTTGTTTCCATCCTACTGACAAAAACATTTTCAGCAACCTTTGGAAATTGTGCAATATTAATGACATCTGAATTGGGTTTCCGCCAGCTGAGTTGTGGTCAATCCATCAGCTTTGTGAATGTCAAAAAAATGCACATCTGTGAGAATAATGGAACAGGCCCTTCAGGATGGGATTAATCTTGGACAGTTGTTGTTCTTCTTCCATGTCAGTGAATGCTGGACATGGTTTTTTTGTTAGAAAATACAAAAAGTCAGAATGTGCTTGGAGATTTTCCGTTTGATAGTTATTTTGACTAGATATTGGAGATACAACAGGTATGATATTTGTTGAGGTAGTTGTTGACAGATATAAACTGTTGATGTTTTCATCTGGGTAGGTAATAAAAACTCCTATCGGTTTTTTTAAATACTTTTTAGCTTTGCTAACAGAATGGCTACAGGGATGGCAATGCTGGTCCATCAGTCCAACGCATTGATTCAGAATCATATTTCTCAACAACTTCTGAAAGGATTACCGTATTTTCCGGACTAGATAAATCAAATTTTTTGTACCTGTCTGGCTGGTCCTGCGACTTACTCCGAAGCGATTTATATATTTAATTTTGTCTGACTGCGTTCAAACTCCGGCCAACAGATAGCGCTGTATACAATTGTGACAACTGAAAACCGCTGTACAACCGAAGACGAAAAAAGTCACGTAACTTTCCAGGATGTTGGGATGTTGAGGTTATAGAGAGGGGAAGTCCCGCCCTTCTACTTCCGCCCCATGGGACCTTATTTCGGAAAAATTATGTATTGAAGTCAATGGGGAGAGAAAGATTATCTTTCGATCCCGTTTGAATTGTGCCACGAATTACACATATGATGTTTGTCAATCTTAAATAATCATTTCCATGTAAAAAAAGTCACAGTTTGTCGTAAAACTGTTGAAATATAAGACTATGAAAAATACGCAACTAGAAAAACTACAAATCCCAAAGTCGCGTAAGTGATGTCATAATTGTTTTCCTCCACTAAATATAAGAGATAGCTAAGATTAGATAACTTTAACAAGATACCTGTGTGCTTTATACCAGGTTGTAATCATACCAGCAATGGGTCTTGCTCGTTCTTTCGCTTCCTGTCTGATGAAAGGACCGTTTTGTTGTTTGTGTTTCCCCTCATTTTTCGTGCTGGTTAGTAAAATCGGCCGGGCCGGAGTTTTATTCTCTACCGGATGGACGGGACAGTCGGGAGTAGGACATTGTGCGTTTGGAATAGAGCACGGGAGTAACGCATGTAACGCGCAAGTCACACACACAACCCTCCTCCGCCGAGACATTCCTTCGACCGTCTAAAAAAGGCCGACACATAAAAGTTTAAATCACGTGAGCTCGTACCAAAGAGGTTTAATGGATGGGGTGGAAATACAATTCCGATTATTTTACTGTCTCGAATTCCGACATTACGATTGATTGCAGCATGATCGATTGAACTAGNAAGAGGGATTTTCGACGTTAACTCGTTTGTTTCTGGTTCAATCGTTTCTTTAACTGTATGATCTTTTCGTTGGGATTTTTGTACCCTTTGCAAGTACAGTTAATACTGTACTTGCAAAGGGTACAAAAATCCCAACGAAAAGATCATACAGTTAAAGAAACGATTGAACCAGAAACAAACGAGTTAACGTCGAAAATCCCTCTTCCCTCTTCAAACACACATCCACCACCGAAGAAGAAGAAGAAGAAGAAGAAGAAGAAGAAGAAGAAGAAGAAGAAGAAGAAGGCGGCTGAACAACTGTTCAGTGTCAATCCTGTGGAGATGGAGTTTATAAATCTCCAAAATCATGTTCAGTTTAAGTCTCAGCAAAACTCACAAAATGTCTGGAGCCTCCAGAAAACTTTAAGAACATTCATTAAGTAGCACTGAACATGTCTGCTTTATTTGGTTCTGTTCTACATACCTTTGTGCAGTAGCTTTTTCTGACATGAATGTCGTGAACTATAAATACAGAACAAGACTGACTGATGAACATTTAAATGAATCTATTAGATGCCATAATAATATGTGAGAGAGTGTCGTTTTCTTGGACCTTGATGTTAAGATTGTTGATAAGCTTTAGGTATTGCAATTTAACACGTGTACAAAAGTAGCTTAATTCAACTGATGAGGGCTATGTGAATAAATAGAAGCGATGTGATGCAAGTAGCTCTTGGCCACTTTCATTTTTTCAAAGTAGCTCTCAGATGAAGAAAGGTTGGAGACCCCTGCTCTAGTGCGTAATACAGATTTGTGTGCATGTAAATGGTCTGCAAAGGCTAAAATCCCAAAGGTCCCTCCATAATGAGGTTGCTCCCAAACACCTCCATTTGATTCCTTTGTTTGCTTCTGTAACATAACGACATCACGATGTAGCACTTGCGATTCTATTTGCTAGCATTCCAACACATTGTCTGTGATAGGATAAGGGGCGGGACATCTGTAAGCAGTTGACCAATCACAAAAGAGCTGGCCAGCTAACCAATCAGAGCATGGAGGCTCTGGTTTCAGACAGAGGGTGAAAAGAGGTGCTGCAGCACAGGCAATATGAGAAAGATAAAGAGCTTTTTGAACATTAAAGCATGGAGACATGTCACAGTAGAGGCACTACATACAAATATGAACCTGAAAATAGGTATATGTCCTCTTTAAACTGGGGCCCTCTTATTGCTCTAACACAATAAAGAATAATTTTCCAAGTCCAGAAGAATAAGAAAGAAGAATTGCAATTAAAACAAACTTGTTTATGATAAACTTAGCAATAATTAACAGACTTATAATTGAATTTGTAAGTTGCACTGCCAAAGCAGCTACAACAGAATTAAAAAGTGTTATAAAGATGCCAGACACGTACTGACTGAATATGCCCTCAACAAAGTGATAGAAAACTCCTGAAAAGGGTCTTGTTTATTGAGAAGGAATATGATGTCTGTACCAACTCTAAAGTACACTTCTCTGGCTCTTTACCAATAATAGATACATTCCCTCTATCTGTTTAGCTATTAAAATAGGACATGTGACTTTCAATTTCAGGGTTTCAAAAACACTCAGACACTCTTGTAGAGACATGAGAGTTTTCCTTTCAACTGGGTCAATAGCAAGTAAACAAAATCATTTTTTCATCATCTTATGTAACTCAGAGCCGTAGCTGGCTGTACTGTGCATGTTAAGCTTGTCAAATACTGATCACAGAGCCTTAGCAAAAGCCAACCCACAATCACATGTTCTAAAACCTATTTCATAATGTCTTATTTTATTCATTTATTATTTTTTTTTATTTGCTTATTTTTTGTTTTTGTTTGTTTTTGCCTGTCCTTGTTTGTCAACACTCCATCACACTGTAAAGCGTCTTTGAGTTCCAGAAAAGCGCTATATAAATATAATTTATTATTGTTATTATTATTATTATAATGCTAGGGCAGCTTCCTGAATATTTTTTTTTTAAAGAACTTCTGGTAACGCTACAATGAACAATAGTTCATAATACACTATTGAAAGGGGCCATTTATGCTTTTGGGTTAAAAAGTTTCTCTCCCACCCACACACGCCTCCATTGGACTCCTAACCAATCAGAGCAGACTGGGCTCTGGTTTCAGACATAGGGGGAAAAGAGGTGCTGCAGCACAGGCAGTTTGAGAAGAATAAAGACCTTTTGAACATTAAAGCATGTAAACATGCCACAGTAGAGACACAAAATATCATTACTGTATGAACCGTCACATTTGCATAATAGGGCCCCTTTAAGCTGTAAAATATTGATCACAGAGCCTAAACCTTAGCTAAAGCTTCTTCATGCTAGGGCACCTTCCCAAATACATTGCTTTGGAAGAACCTCTGGTAATACTAAAATCTATTGTAGTTCATAATTCACTCTTTAAGAGACTGACCAGTCAGTCTGTATATTTTGTATTATGACTTCAACAGGGAGAAAATATGATTATTTCAAAAAGAGCGCAGTGTTGTAATGTTGTGCTGTTTCTCTTTCTACAACAGCAAGTGGTGGAGAAAAACTCATTTTTTGTTGGTCTATTTTCTATATTGCAGGTCAAAAGAACATGCGAGTGACGAGCTTGCTAATTTGCCAGGGGCTGCTCTGGGTGGGCACTGCCCAAGGCCTCATTATCAATCTTCCAGTCCCCAAACTGGAGGGCATCCCCAAAATAACAGGTATGGATCAGACGGGCAGGCTCACTGTGGTTGAACAGCTTCTTGAGAGGTCAAAAATAATGTTATTTTTTATGGATGAAAATGACTCTGCACTGCCCATTATTGAGGTCACACTTGGTGGTTCTCAGAATCATTGCCAATATAACCAGGCAGGCAAACACACACATCACACTGTTCATATGTATATTGTTGCAGGGTAATTTAAAAACTGCCTGCCAGGGTTTTGTTAATTATGCCAAGTGAATGAGGTTGTTAGCTTCACACTTGCGGAAACCTGACCTTGTTATTCCAAGCTAGTTTATTGAAAACTATGTAAAAACAGCACAAACATCATCTCCCATTATTACTGTTACAGCAGCATAATCATAATAAATACAGTTAACTGTCATACATTATGATCCAGAGTTCAAGTCATTTTTAGTTCAAACTGCAGCTTGCTTAATAGTCTCTTGTAAGTGGACATTGACTCAGTGCACTGTTTGTATAGTGGTGCATTCATTTTGTAGGCTGTCCCAGTGTGTTGCATTGCAAGGGCTCCCTTGACAAAAAGCAATGGGATTTATCCATTGGATTTCGATATATTGATGAAAATAAGCATTATGAAAAACACACATTTCTGATGATTCTTAACATGTTCTGTTAAGCTCCACATATTACCACCACTTTATGATCTTTTAAACGTAAAGACAATTGACAAAAGTTATAAGCTAACGTTATGCTATAAACAAACTACATCATAGACGCATGGCTGCGCATCACCAATGCTGAGCTAAGATAAACTATCCGAGACTTGTGTCAGCGTCATGACGTTTTATAGTTTATTTAGTCACTTCTCAACAGCCACTGTTCGTTATGACACGTAGACGCTTTGGATATTCGCAAGTGAGTGTTGACTGACAAATGTCATGTTCGTACAACAAAACGTGAAACTCTTTTAAGCTTTTGTCGACCCAACACTTTATTTTCACGCTTCTAACCATCTCTGTTGAATTTGAGACAAGGGAACCGGAAGGTGTAAAACTCATTTCCAGATTTGAGGACTCATTCCTGCACCACTCTAATGTCCCTCTGCATGACCTTTAATATCATATCTTACTTCCTCCTACAGGAAAGGGAATGGTCTCTCTGAATGCACATTGTGGGCCTGTTGAGTTCCTGGTCGCCACCACCAGCTCTCTGTCCCCTGACCTCCTGAAGAGAGACTCTTTTGGGGAAGGGCCGGACTCTGCGTTTGGCGGCGAGGACCGCAGCGACACCTCCTCCCAGGAGTCCCTGCAGCAGTCCTACCAGGGGGAGGGGCGGGGCAAAGGCCGCGGCGTCCTGCTGCAGTACAAGCTGCGCTCCACATCGGGACTGCCCGGGCGCCCGCTGACAGCGCTGGGCGACGAGGCGTCAGACTCCTCCCTGGAGTCCTTGGAGCACAGCGTGGAAGACGGGTCCATCTACGAGCTCAGCGACGACCCAGACATGTGGGTCCGGGGACGTCCTTGTGAGCGGGAGGGGGGCCGCAGGGACAGGGTGATCTCTGCGGCGGTCATCTCTGGAGGAAAGGGCTTCCGTAGACTGAAGGAAGGAGCGGCAGCCGGCACGAAGACGAGCGGGGAGGGTTTAGAGAATAATCTGATGGTGTGGCAGCTCCCTCTGACAGTGTGATATGGAAAACATACGGCAAGGTGAGGAGTATTTATAGCCGTATACCCAGCTTAGCCTTGAATCAACCGCTCCATATATTCAAGGGATTTAATAAACATGTTTGATGTGAAGGCGTCGCGGAGCTTGACATGTCATGATCTAGCCTGTGAATAAGGAAGCAGAGGCGCTGTCAGCCAATAGGATGCTTTGAATGTTTCGGGGTTGTGCGTCACCATCAGCAGTGGCACAGGCCGCCTCAGATTAGCTCCCTGTGATTGTTTTGATCTGGTTCCTGCCTTCGTTAAGACTGATACGCCTCAATTTAACCTCATCATGGCGCCGTGTGCTGTGCCACATTAATTTTACGCGAATGACTTCTGTGCGAGCGGCCGTGGACGGCGCGCCTTTGAGAGGCAGCCTTTGTTGAATCTGCCACGCTCTGCAGAGTCGGAGATGGACATCTTTTATCTGATCCTGGGGGAGAGATCCCATCTGTTTGGAGCTGAGAGCCGGGGACTTCCACCGCATCACAAAGCACATTAGCATCACTTTATTAGCTTTGCCAGCCTTTCTCTCGTCCCATACAATGTGAATGTATGATACCTTCTATTGTGTCTCAAAATTGAATCTGTGCTCTCTTTAAAAAAAAGAAAAAAGGATTGAATGTTTCCTGTTTGTTGCAGCTGTTGCAGATATCACTTTTGGTTATGGAAAACCATATGGAAAAAAGACTCAAAGATGTTATTGCGCCAAATTACAGAATCTACATTTGCACTGTAGAAATCCTGTAATATCTCCGATATATGTTCAGGAAAAAGAAACTTCTTGGTGCCACATATTATTTTGCCCAGATAAAACACTGTTTTTTCCTTTGTTCATGTCATCCATCAGAGAAATGAAACACATGCGCACAGGGTTGTGACACAGCTGGAAACCCCAGTTACACATCAAAGGCAAAACTCTAAAAATAATAATGAATGATAAAATAAAAGCGCTACAGCTATCAAAACTGCTATCAGATATGTATCAACAGTGAAAACATAGCTCAGAGGGCCACTAATTACTCATTATTATTTATAACAAACAACATGATTCAGATTTAAAGATGGTGTTTAATGAAACATAGCATACAATTAACAGACATTGATGTATATTATCTCTGATATTCGCCAGGACCTAGCCTCATGTGTCATCAACACTTGTTTTGAAGCTAATATCTGGTAAATATTTGGAGTTTAAGGCAAACATTAATATTCTATGGTCAAGAAATGAGCATGACGTTAACATTTTAGTGATTATCATGTTTCAAGATCATTTGAAATATTACATAGTCAATCTTTAACCAGATTTTAAAAACATTTTAAACACATTTAAGGTATAAAAATGCATTGATATTCGGTCTGTACAAGCTCTTCTTTTTCGTTAATCATAAAATGATGAGATGTTGCCAAAATAGCAACATGAGTATGGTGAATCACAGCTGGTATAATAAGCACTAAGTGGTACTGTGGAATATTGCTAAGTGTTTGCTTCATAACTTTTTATTTGGATCTTATGGTAACATTGGCAGGCTTTTGAACATTGACATCAATCCTGCAGATTAACAGTGCATGTTCAGTGTTAAACAAGTGGGCGGAGGAAAATCACAAATATGAAAGCAGCTTTGTGGATTTTCAATAAAATGGAGAGCAGGTGAAGGTTGTGTTATATAACTTTTCTCCACATATATCTCTACTTAGCCCTTCCGCCACAAAAGGAATTTCATCTTATCCTTTCATCACAGACGAAGCGCAAAGTTCATGTTTTGTTTTTCCCTACGGCTATTTCAGGTTTATTTTCCCTTTTCTTCTTCTCCTGCTCACAACTGACTGCATCAAAAGCATTTAAACATCCTGCCTTCAGCCGGAATCACTGAAAAAAAAATGACTACGTCCTTGGATGCTGTCATCTAAATGTAAATCTCGATGTCACGTCAGAAATGTATACTCTTAATTCATGTGAGATTCAATGCTGCTGGATCCATAACGCCATGATGGTCACTGCGGAGGTTGTTAGCTCAACCCTAACCAGGGGAGGAGTGTGTTTTCCTCGAGTTTCATAAGCTTATCAACTGAGATACAGTATCATCTCCAACTGATATTTGATGGACATTATTTCAAACAATTCATCTTCTTACACTACATGTGTACAGGTATTATCCATGCACTGAATATTAATACTTATGAATGAACGTACTGTACTACTAATTTTAAATGTTACTAATTAAACCTGCATTCCCTCTTGTAAAGAGGACTCTGCAACAGTGTTGATGTATAAAATGAGATTGTGGTGTTAAAGGAGAAGTCTAGTTAATTTTTGAAAGGTTTGGCCATCATTCAACACATACAGTAAGATTTGTACAGTGGCCAACGGGTGCAAATGCACTACAACGGTGCAAAACATTTCCATTTGGAGAAATTTGCTGCAGCTAAAGAAATTATGTTAATACAAAAACACAAATGGGCTAAAATATCCAAATGAATAATATTTTAGTAACTTGACAACACATGTGCAGCATTTAGAAAAACGTGTGCAGCTTTTACCTAAAGTGTTGCACTAACAAAACGCTGCAAATGCAAAACGCTGCAAATGCAAAACGCTGCAAGAAGCTCAAAACACATCAGAAAACTAAAAACTGATGCACACAACTGGAACTGGAAGCTTGTTGTTGTTCAGGAGTTATAGTGTTGGCCAATTGTCACTATTGTTGGAAAGGTACCAAAAACGTAAGTGGCTTTTTTCAACAATTGCAATAGTAACAATTCCTTCCGGTATTACTAACTAGACAACTGTATAATCCCTGAACGTCAACAAGCACTCTGGTCCAAGCTGATTTTTGTGTTTTTAATTTTCAGTGTTTTGCTTTTAATTTATGCAGCGCTTTTAGTAAATCCTGTGCATGTTTCGTCAAGTTGGTGAATGTTTGCTAAATGCTGCAGATGTGTTGTCGTGAAGTTGGTTCATTTGCATGTATTAATGCGCATTGGTATTTTTTATTTGCATTGTTTTGAAACTGCAGCGCAGTTCTCCTAATGGAAGTCTTTTGGGCCTTTGTAGCCATTTGCACCTGTCAGCCTCCGTAGATTTCAGAGATTATAGTCAGACCTTAAAAAAAGATTTTCACTTTGGTCAGATCTCGAATATGTTTTCACATTAGGCCGTAATCCTCTTCCATACATATACATATCTGGGATTGATGGAAACATCACTAAAAACAAGTCAGCACTATAAGAAACACAAACAGTCCAATGATCATACAGGTTTTAAACAAACACTTTGCATTTTCAGAATTCTTGGTAAGCAACACAGGAAGAAACCTTTTTTTCAGCTAAATAGTCTGACATCTGTCACAGTTTACACACTGACTTCCATGTTCAACTTTGCCCTACCATAGCACCGTTTGTTCCTGTGCGATGAGGCGTGATTACTGACATGATGGGTGCGTTGACCTTTAGTTTTACCACCTGTTGTGCAAGTGTTCACAGCCTGTGTGATCATCTGGCTGCTCTTCTCTTAACCTGTCACATCTTGTTGGAGGGATACCTCACCGATTGCTTTGGTGTGTACAAAATGGAGAATAATTACATTAAATGATGGCCAAATCTGTTAAGTAAGGTTAAAACAATTATTAACTGGAATAATCCTTTAAGCAAGAGTATTACACTTGATGCCGTCACAGGCGTGTGGAAACACGCTGCTCATTTCTCCTTGGTACTTTAATGTTACATGTCTAACAGGCGAATGCTGAATTAAAAATATGTTTAAACTTGAGTTTGTCCTTTTTTTATTTCACTGAATCATATTGATGTGGCTTTATTTTGTCAAAGGTACAGTAGGCTTTGAGATAAACCGTACATCTGTAGCATTATTATGCTAACTCTGTTACACTTTCTTTATGACTCAGCAGCAGAAAATCTAGTCCTTGATGTTTCATTTGGATTATCGTATCACGTTGTTGCTGTTTGATTATTCAAATTACAATAAGCTTACCTCTGTGTCTGCTGGAAGCATAGGAAGCCAGGGCTTAAAAACAACACAGAAAGGAAAAACTGAATAGTAAAAAGAAAAAAGACTCGTAATTTAGTTATGTTAATTTAGTCCTCAGCGGCGTTCATCTCTAGTACTCTAGCCTCTAGACATCACATTAAGGGTAGTCCAGTGTAGTTGTTGTCGCTTTCTCAAGAGCATTGCTAGCTTAAAGTCAAAAGAAAATTCAAATTAGTGAGTTGATTTGAGAGAACATAATAATGAACGCTTTTTGGTTAAACTACTAATATAATAAAACTACCCTTGGATTGACATATCTTTTTATCAAAGAGAACATATGCTCATTTTTCAGGTTCTTATTTTGTGCCTCTACTGTGTCATTTTTCCATGTTTTGTAGCAGGATGGGGGAAAAGAAAATACAGAATATTCCTTCCCTGATCACAAAGGGGTGAACAAGCCACACCTGAGAGCTGGGGGAAGCTAATCAGAAAAATGAGTCATACCTGTGAGCTGTGGAGGAGAGAAGAGCACTCTGCACTGGTGAAAGAGGGAAGAAGTGGAAGTCGGATCCAGCTGACATACCCAGTTGGATTTTTGGAATGCCACTGAACCCAGGAGCTGGTAGGATCATTTTCTGACCTGCATTCTGATCTGTGATTTTGCCTGGCTTGCACTCCCAGGTTGGGGATGGCCCTGAATTCTTCATTCATATACACCCATCCACCTGAACTGCAGTAATCTCAAATTGAACTGGCCTGTGTGACTGGAGTGTTAAACAACAATACAAACTTCTCAGACGAACACATTCATTCATTCATTCACTCACTCACTCCTCATGGTTTTGAGAAATTAGTCCTCTGTTATTTAATTAATGAATTCCTGTTTTGTTATTTGATCCTTTGATTGACATTTAGTTTTGGACATTTTGAGTTTAAGTGTTTTTGGTATGGGACTGTATTTTGATCATTTTGCATTGTGATGCGCTTATTCAAATGTTTGGATTATCCTAGCTTGGTCACCGGGCATTCCCTTTTTTTTATATTTTAGATAAATAATGTATACATTCTAGAGATAGAAGCGCGATATTAGGTAGTGATGTCACTATGTCAAACTAGTAAATAAAGAAGTCCAATCGAGGCGTTTCTCTGGATGGAACTAGGGATTTTAGCCTTGGCAGACCATTTACATGCAGAATAACCATAACACACAACAGGGAAGAGAAAACACCATAAAGGGGCCCCTTTTAGATAGGTTTGGTCAATGTTACATTAAAAGTAGAAGCTAGGAGTAAAAACAAGGAGAGGAAGGAGGAGATGCAGCAGGAATCTCTTCCTATGTGCAGAGTGAAACTCCTCAGATAAATGATGACCATTGAGACTTGGTTTTGTCACATATTTTAAGCCTCTTCACCTTTATTATGCCAGCGGCTTATGTCACTTCAGGGAGACAAGTGGAGGCGGGGTAGTTATGACTGCTTTATCTCCGTCTCTTTCCCTCGCTGTGTTTCTTTTTTTGCCTCTCTCTTCTACATGTGTCAAAGAAGTCCTCCAGGAATACAAATCTATCATCCATCAAAGTAGGAAGTGAAGCTGTTTGCTTTTTCCTCATCAATGTGTGCTGCTGACCTTTGACCTGAACGCTACATTAATAGCCTCCTCCTCCTCCCAACTCCACATGGAGCAGTCAGGTCACATAAAGCCCCCCCGTCGGCGCTGACATTGTCACATAAAGGGGTCTCTACATCCACAGGAATTAGCCTCAGCTGTAGCCTTTAGGAATTTAGCAGGGAAGGTCAATGCTAAAAGGAAGCGCTAACTAAGTGCTGGAATGTAACTAAGCACGTTAAAACTACAAACTTTAACACCCTGCACTGCGCATGACTTGCACTGTACTACATACACAGTGGTGAAATGTAGTATTACATTTACTCAACTTGTACTATTTAGACATAGCTTCAGGCCCGCCCCTCCCTACACGCAGATCACACAAACTGCGTAGGCGTAGGGCCTCATCTTATGCGCAAATGCGGCGCAATTACAATGCCCTGCATAGCTTATTTGTACTTAAGTAGGGATGCTCCGATCGATCGGCCACCGATCGATATCGGCCGATACTCACTCTCTTCCGATCGATCGGTGTTCCCTAAAAATGCCGATCGCGAGAGTCGATCGCATGACGTAAAATGATGACGTAAAATACATGACACTTTACTCTGCGCGGCAAAACAAGCTCGCCAAAATGGCTTTGCGAGTCTGGCAGTATTTTAAGATGCCCGAAAATGACAATAAAATAGCGGTATGCAACGTGTGTGAAGCAGAAATCCTGCAGCTCCACCCGCTGTGACGGACCGGTGAGCGGAGCGAAACACACTAAGAGTTAGACCTAACACACTTAGCTGTTTTATCTACCTCTGGAACAAGCTAAACTAGTTATACATATATTTATTCTTCACTGTCGCGTTACTGATTACTGGATCAGTGAGCTGCATGAGATACTGACAGTCAGGGGCGGACTGGCCATCGGGACGTTCGGGACGAATCCCGATGGGCCGGTACTGAGGTGGGCCGGTCGGACGATGTGGTCCGNGGTCTGAAGGGGAGTGGCTTAGCTTGACCCTGGATTCAGAGGGACAGGAGGTGAAAAGGGGTGGAGGAGGGTTGCGTCGAGTCACCTGAAATGACAGCTGTCAGAGGGGAGAGCAGATTTAAAAGGTTTAGCGGAGCGCTATGATAGGCTTGTGAGATTAGAGCAAAGTGATTGGTTAAGCTGGGGAGTGACGCCCCCGATCACTTAATGTTACTTACTTAGTAGTAACATGGAAATAGTAAATTAATGAGTAAAGAAGATCTTCCTGGTTGAACTTGCGCTGAGCTTCAGTTCTGCAAATTAACAGTTTGAAATATCTTAATCATTAAATTGCCATAATAAGTTATTATCTCTATGGGCATTGGGCAGTGCTTGCTAGAATAAGCCATACCGTCTCTGCTTTGCTCAGTCGAACACACATTGGTTAGCAGTTACCGTTAGTTAAATACACTTGTTATGCAATATTGAGCAAACAACCATGTTAGATAAACGAGAAGCTTGTTGGAAACGCAAAACGCCATCAGGCTTTTATTACGTTTTCTAGTAACTTATCCTGCTGTTGACCCCCTTCGCCCATCATGGCTCCAACATGTTTAAGTTTGAGATGTTCTCGCATTCTTGTGCTCCCAGGCTGTTGATATTAGACTAACAATTTTCTCCGTGCTTCTCTCCGTCTTCGCCTGAATGTTTATTTCTTTAAGTGACGTAGCCAGCTCCTCAAAACAGCGAGTAACAACATCCCAACAAATCGATAAGGAAATTCATTGCAAACTTTTTTATCATCACATTTTATCGATTCGTTGTAGCAGCCCTACTGATGAGGTTAATTTTTCCCTGAAATGGTGGTAAATATTTTAAGTTTCGGGATCAGGAAGTTTAGTTCAACAAATAAAATAAACGTTTTACTACTTTAAGTTGGACATTTTCTTGAATGTACAAAACCTTTTGTGGTTGTGGTGATATGGACAGTTTTATACCTTCAGTTATTGCTCATTTATCTCCACTCCTAAGTGGCCAGTAGGGGCCTATACTGATCAACATTTACTCCAATAATAAAATAGAATAACTGAAAACTAATTGATGTACATAGAAAGTTTGGTTGCGGTTTGAACAAGAGCATCTGAATTAATTATATACATAATATGTGTTATCTGCTAAAGTTAGCCAGGGTAAGAGATTATTGAATCCCTGTTTTTTTTAATACTGAAGTGAGTCAATTCACGATGGAGTAAGATTCAACGCTTACTAGTTTTGGATAGCAGAGGTAGACACATCTAGGGTCTATAACCTGAGTGCAACACCTTTTCTCCTAAACTTATTGAGGCTTTCAGATAAAGTAGGAATTTTTGCATGAGAGAATCCTAAAACAGTCATTTTCGAGGATGGGGTGGAATTGCCACAGGATGGATGGATTAGTCAATGCCAAACAACCACCATAGAGTTACTTGTGCTAAATGAAAGACTGTCATTAATTCAAAAGCAGTTAATAATGGATGAGGGGAGACATCACTGAAAGCTATTTACGGTTTGAGGAGGTGGACATTTGAATAGATGACCCTTCCCTCTCTCGCAGTGACAGTCGAGGGTTACTTTACAAAACTGTTGGCAGCAGAAGATCTTCCTGTAGCAGACAGACAGAGCTGCTGTCACTCAACACTGAGCTGTCACCCTGTGCAGATACTACGAGTGTGTGTGTGTGTGTGTGTGTGTGTGTGTGTGTGTGTGTGTGTGTGTGTGTTCGTGTGTGTCAATGAGACAGGTCTGAATTAATGAGAGGTACGTGTCAAGGGGAGAGAGAGGCGTTGAGGAGGAAGGAGGGCAAAGATGGCGGCTGAGTGGTGATTACAGCACGTGTGTATGTAGGAATGGCTCTTAAAATAATAATTGTATTGCTTCCCGACTGGTTATCGAATCAGATGAATCTTTAAAGTTACAATCTTAAACAGATTCATGTTAAAACATTCCAGTTACTTCATGTTGCTGATATAAAGATACCATTAACCAGGGGCGGACTGGGACTACAAATCGGCCCGGGACTCTCGACCAGCCCACTTCGGTACCGCTGGCCCACCGCGGTGCTCGTGACTTACCGCAGAGGTAGACATTAAGGGTAAAATGCCACTGGCATTATATTATCACTGGCCCCACCATTGTAACCACTGGCCCGGAGCACTCGTCCAAAAAAAAATCGACTAAT